GCTACGGCAACAGGAATGGGAAATGGGAGGGTAACATGTAGGAAGAGGAGGAAGGGGTTGTCTGTTTAGGATGAAGTTGCTGGGTGAAAATCCAAGAATTCTCCTCCAGCCCCACAGTGTTTTCTCAATGTATGTTCTTGTTTATTGTAGTATTGCAGTAATGAAGCTGAACAAATATGGAAGAATATCAGCAACAGAGAAGACTTCAATCAATTGAAAGAGAGCACGCACAAAAATGAGGGAGCAGATCATCATATAATTGAGTCGGTGGGGTACCAGTGTATAGACTTGATAAGAAGTAGGAGCACAGAGATAAGACAGAACTATTTGGGTCTATATAGTGAATCTCTCCCACAGGATATTGTTGCAAAATGGTGGGATTCAAATAATCATTTATAAAAAGCCATTAGTGTAGATGGTATATGTGCTCTAAATATTGTTGCCAGGATTGGTCTAAGTCTGAGGGAATTTCTTTCCTCCTCAAAAATGACAAAATTCAGTTCAATAATTTTGGAGCTAACTGTTACATTTGCTCAACTGTAAGTGATCAATGAGAGAAAGGGAGAAAAGGAGAGAAATCAATAGATAAATTCACGTTGCCAAACCAGCAACATGAAACATTTGACTTTAATTCTGCTTCAAGACAGAACTAGTATGATCAGAAACTGAAGGTGCATTTAGTGGAGATAGTTATTATAACTAGAACATCTCATTTTTCTATAGTTACATTGTTTTTGTTGTTGTTCTGGTCTTTGCAATAGGCTAGAGTTTTTGTCTCCCAGCTCTCGACAGTGTGTGAGACCATATGGACACTGGGACTCCATCAGACTTTTCTGCTGCTATTAATAATAGGGAGATGGCTTCTTCCCATTGGTGGTGAAATCACTCGTGATCAGTTGTCACAGCTGCTGCTTATGTTCGTGGGAACTGCAGCGGACATACTTGAATTCACTAGTGAGACCTTGGAAGTAGAAAATGTAAGGTAAGTAATATTTGCTGAAATACATCATTTGTATCACAGGTTATACTGAACGTCTTGTTCCATTTCATGTTTTGAATTGTGTGTGGATTTGGAACTGTTGCAACTGTATCATTCAGAAATATCAGAGATGGCTCCTGTCTAGGACTTTCTGTCCTCTTCTGTCCCTCCCTGAAGGTCAAAGTAGCTCCCATCAGCTTCAGAGGAAGTTATTCATAATGGACATGTTACATCCACCACAAGGAAAGGATTCATAGAACCAAGAAAATGGAGGAACTAACACACCGAGTTTGCAATACATACAATTAGAGCTAGTACAACTATGTATTACAAACAGATCCTCTCCTTTGGTTAGTGATTTGTTCACAAGCTACTCTTGATTTTCTTGTAAGTCAGGTGCTTTTTAGACTGAATTGTTTGCAAACAGTTTGCTGTGGCTATACATTATCGACGTTGCATGTTCAGTTACCTGATATTGTTTCTGCTCCCTGCATGGATGACAAAGTTTTAAATCAAGGGAATAGGAAGCAATGTACTTCCAATGTGAATTTTTCAGATGAATAATCACCAGAGTGATTTAGAAATGTTTTCAGAGCTATTTAGTGATCTGAATTATCATAAAGAATGTGACCCCCTACAAATAATGGGAAACTGAATGTGATACTTTCCCCCCGGAAAATGTCAATTTCATTATTCAACCAAACTGTATCTGTAACAGAACATATTTAACAGCAGGGAAGGGTCTCCCTACATAACAAAGATGGTTCAAGCTCAATGAAGATATGAAATCACCACAAGGGTAGGGCATCTTTTCCTTGTTGAACCTCAGAAGTCATTCCCATACTCTGATAACTCTTGAATATTAACTCTGAGGTTTGGTCTAAATCACCTAGCTCACGCAGGGGGGAAATGTAAACCAGCTGTAGGGATTCCCACAAGGAGCTGGCCCAAGTATCCGATAATTCTGTTGGAATGACACATGTGCCCACTAGCTGTGATGCTGATCTCCAACTCCTTTTAAAAGTAGTAGTGTTCTCCATACTCTGGGACTCATTTCATTACTCACTCACTTTTGTTTGTTTTTAGGCATAACCACATTCTTGTGTATGCGATTCTTGGTGTATGGACCTGGAGTATGTTGCAGTTTCCACTCGATCTTGCAGGTCAGTATCAGCAAGTAGATGAGGAAAGGAATGAGAAGTAGGAGCACAGAGATAAGACAGAACTATTTGGGTCTATATAGTGAATCTCTCCCACAGGATATTGTTGCAAAATGGTGGGATTCAAATAATCATTTATAAAAAGCCATTAGTGTAGATGGTATATGTGCTCTAAATATTGTTGCCAGGATTGGTCTAAGTCTGAGGGAATTTCTTTCCTCCTCAAGAATGACAAAATTCAGTTCAATAATTTTGGAGCTAACTGTTACATTTGCTCAACTGTAAGTGATCAATGAGAGAAAGGGAGAAAAGGAGAGAAATCAATAGATAAATCCATGTTGCCAAACCAGCAACATGAAACATTTGACTTTAATTCTGCTTCAAGACAGAACTAGTATGATCAGAAACTGAAGGTGCATTTAGTGGAGATAGTTATTATAACTAGAACATCTCATTTTTCTATAGTTACATTGTTTTTGTTGTTGTTCTGGTCTTTGCAATAGGCTAGAGTTTTTGTCTCCCAGCTCTCGACAGTGTGTGAGACCATATGGACACTGGGACTCCATCAGACTTTTCTGCTGCTATTAATAATAGGGAGATGGCTTCTTCCCATTGGTGGTGAAATCACTCGTGATCAGTTGTCACAGCTGCTGCTTATGTTCGTGGGAACTGCAGCGGACATACTTGAATTCACTAGTGAGACCTTGGAAGTAGAAAATGTAAGGTAAGTAATATTTGCTGAAATACATCATTTGTATCACAGGTTATACTGAACGTCTTGTTCCATTTCATGTTTTGAATTGTGTGTGGATTTGGAACTGTTGCAACTGTATCATTCAGAAATATCAGAGATGGCTCCTGTCTAGGACTTTCTGTCCTCTTCTGTCCCTCCCTGAAGGTCAAAGTAGCTCCCATCAGCTTCAGAGGAAGTTATTCATAATGGACATGTTACATCCACCACAAGGAAAGGATTCATAGAACCAAGAAAATGGAGGAACTAACACACCGAGTTTGCAATACATACAATTAGAGCTAGTACAACTATGTATTACAAACAGATCCTCTCCTTTGGTTAGTGATTTGTTCACAAGCTACTCTTGATTTTCTTGTAAGTCAGGTGCTTTTTAGACTGAATTGTTTGCAAACAGTTTGCTGTGGCTATACATTATCGACGTTGCATGTTCAGTTACCTGATATTGTTTCTGCTCCCTGCATGGATGACAAAGTTTTAAATCAAGGGAATAGGAAGCAATGTACTTCCAATGTGAATTTTTCAGATGAATAATCACCAGAGTGATTTAGAAATGTTTTCAGAGCTATTTAGTGATCTGAATTATCATAAAGAATGTGACCCCCTACAAATAATGGGAAACTGAATGTGATACTTTCCCCCTGGAAAATGTCAATTTCATTATTCAACCAAACTGTATCTGTAACAGAACATATTTAACAGCAGGGAAGGGTCTCCCTACATAACAAAGATGGTTCAAGCTCAATGAAGATATGAAATCACCACAAGGGTAGGGCATCTTTTCCTTGTTGAACCTCAGAAGTCATTCCCATACTCTGATAACTCTTGAATATTAACTCTGAGGTTTGGTCTAAATCACCTAGCTCACGCAGGGGGGAAATGTAAACCAGCTGTAGGGATTCCCACAAGGAGCTGGCCCAAGTATCCGATAATTCTGTTGGAATGACACATGTGCCCACTAGCTGTGATGCTGATCTCCAACTCCTTTTAAAAGTAGTAGTGTTCTCCATACTCTGGGACTCATTTCATTACTCACTCACTTTTGTTTGTTTTTAGGCATAACCACATTCTTGTGTATGCGATTCTTGGTGTATGGACCTGGAGTATGTTGCAGTTTCCACTCGATCTTGCAGGTCAGTATCAGCAAGTAGATGAGGAAAGGAATGAGATGAGCGTGTCTCAGGCTTGGGCACACTGACAGTGCTATGTGAACAAAAATAAATCTCACCATCCAAGACAATCCCGAGGGCTTTGGGACAGCAAGTCAAATCCCAGAAACAATGCTGAATTATTTCAAGGAAGCTCAGCATCAGAATAGGAAAATCAACATGCTCTCTTTTGAAGGAAGACTTATCTCAAGCTGAACTGCAATCTCTTTAGTATACACTGCTCATTTGCAGGAAACTTGAATTACTATGGATGTGTCAAGCAGGGGCACCTGCTGGGCTTGTGTCATTTTTAACTATAAACCCTGGGGTTAGAGACATTCCTGGCCCTAGGCTGGCTCCCACTGGGCTAGACCAGGGCAACAAGCATCTGAGATGCAGCGTCCTTTCCTCAGCATGAGACCAGCACAGCCCATAAAGCAGGTGCTGTTTGCTGAGAAAAGAGTATGATCACTCTTTTCCCCCACTCAGTGGCTGGTCATAGAGCTGCTCTGGAGACCATAAGGATATTAAGTTGCTTATTCTCGGTGTGGACAAGGAAAGCAGGAAGCAAAAAACATCACAAGTCCTGCCTTGGAGTGTTTTTATCCTCTCACAGAGGGGGCTTTGCTGGGGCAAAGAGGTGTAACCAACATCTCCCTATATCAGTTGCATTTATTCTGACCCCTCTTTCCAGAGAGTTTACAGTTCAGCTGCAGCTAGGGTGTACGAACAGGTCAAGAGGGAATTATTTTCAAAGGTTTTTATATAAAATTCATGATATGACTTCATTAGTTGTTTCTTCTGGGAATTTTTCTTGAGACATTGTCTCAGAAAGGACATTAGACTTTTAAAAATATTAATGTTGAGGGAATATTTCCATCTTTTAATGTTTCATTGTAACCTCTAGATGCTACAAATGGATGGAGGAGCTTTTAAGATGTGTCACATGAAGAGCTGCAGATCTATAGACTGCTAACAATGTATTCTGTCAAAAACACAGACCACTCTATGCAAGTGCAATATCACTGCAAGCATTTTAAGTTACCTAGGGGGATGTTTTCATCTGGTTAAAGAAGACTTAGCATACAAGTCTGAATATTCCCATGTGACTTAGCACCCATAAACAATAAATAGATAGCAGTGAATAAAGTCATTACTGTTTATAAGCTCTGTACATATTTTCCTTCTAGTAACCCCAATCTTGACCTGCGACATTTCCTGTGTGAGCTATGTGCCACTCTAAAAGGAGGGTTGTGGTCATACCAAATTTTTATGGTGGAGCTATGATGTGGACAAAGACAGAATGATACTGCCTATTTTCAGGCTCTATTCAGCAAAATTGTAAGCACGTTCTTAAGAGTTAAGCCCTGGCATACTTTGTTTAGTTAAGTGCGCTATTAATCCACTCTGCATCTGAGTTGCCCATTTAGCCTTTTACGTCTAGACATCAGAGGGCTAGGTTAACACAATGCCTTTTATTTACAGTGCAACATATTGGCTGCAAACTGTCTGTGTCATCTAAGAGAGTCCCGACTTTACTGCTTTGCCGATACAGCGCAGACCTGTGGAACATTGGAATCAGCCTTTTCATACAAGATGGCCCTTTCCTTGTTTTACGCTTGATACTGATGAGCTATTTTAAAGTAATCAATCAGATGCTGGTGTTTTTCACAGCTAAGAATATCTTAATTGTGATGTTACAACTTTATCGTCTAATTGTGCTGTTGTTAAACTTCCGTGCTTCCCTCCAGTATCTGCCAAGCAGTCGGATGGGAGGAGTCAGCTGCTGTCCATGTGAGCCTAATGATACCATGCTCCCACCCAGTGACTGGGATACTGATATGAGAGAATGTACTGCTATTCCTCTGGAGAATTCACCAGTCCCATCTGAATATCCGTGAACTCAGCTGTTTATTGGCTACAATATGGTCTGTTTCCTGTGGCCTTTTGGAAGGGTTTGGCATCCTTGAATTATCAAACAATGCTTGTGGTTCTTAATCTTCTTCCTTCAATCTCACAATGAATTTTTCATCTAAAAACCAGGAGAAGACTTTGAAGTCTGCCAACCTTCATATTCTATGAAACAATGTCACAGAAATAAGAACTTTTTGAACCTAGTGATTGGGGTGGGGGATGTTTCCACTACATCCGTATTATATGTATCCAGTGGGCGTAAGTAGGTATAGTTTATAGAACTACAAGGTTTGAAATTGTATGTACTGCATTGATGAACTTGGTTAATGTCATAGGAGGCATTATGCTAAAAAATATCCTCAAATATATTTATACAGAAGGGCAGACATATCAGGACAGTTATGTGGAATTTAGGAGCCTTTAACTTTGTTTTCACATGCTGTCAATGGAAGCAATGTGATGAATTACAGGTAAATATAACCCAGAATTACTTCAGCTATGGCAATTGCATAGGACTGTAAGCAAATGAAGATCATGTGTTTACACTGTCACTGTGATACTAAAACATCATCCTTTCCCTGAACGTAAGAAAAACTATTTTATGTTACCTCACCAGTAATTTGATTCAGTGAAAGCTCCAATGACAAGGAGTAGCACAAAGGACCATGAAAGTTCTTTCTCAATGATCGCTGATTTTTTGGGGCTCGCCTGGAACCAAATCTAAAACATTTTAATTTGACATTACAGTTCACTATAGTGAAAAATGTTTCTGCTGTGAGCCACATTCTTCATTTCTGGCACAATCAGAGATGGATAAAACAATGAAAAAAAGTCACAAAATACTTTGAAGGGTTTTTTTCCATTTCACAGTGTTTGAAAGTGAGCTAATTCAGGAAATATCTTATTTTTAAATTGTAATTCTTATGACTGTCCTGAAACATGTAGTCTCATTGAAGGCAAGGGAATCTTTGTATAAGACAAAAAACAAAAAAGGACTTGGACTCTCAGGCTACATACAATTTTTATTTTGGGAGAAGGATGCAAATAGAAGACGCTCATCTGGTATGTACCCATGTCTACATGCGGCCGAATTTCAAAATAAACCCTTATTTCAAAAGACCCCTTTAAATCTCATTGTAGGAGGAATAAGGGGTCTTTCAAAATAGGGGTTTATTTTGAAATTCGGCCGCATGTAGACATGGGTACATACCAGATGAGCGTCTTCTATTTGCATCCTTCTCCCAAAATAAAAATTGTGTGTAGACATACCCTCAGTTTGTATTTTATAAAGTGTCTAAATTCTAATTCAGAGGCTGTCTGGTTTATTGAGTATCTAAGCATAATTTTAAAAAAAAGCCCCAAAAATATTTTTACCAATACAGAGGCTTTTACTACTTCAGTAGTGAATAACATGGCATTTAACTCACCTTTCACCTAAATATATATTATACCAATGTAATCACTGACTTCACTGTATTTATTCCTGATTTGCATAGCTGTGATGTGATTTGAGAATCAGAGCAGAGATTCAAAAAACCTGGCTAAACAACTGTATTTGCACACAAACAGCTAGTGCTTTTACAACTTCCATATTTTTAGAAGTTACAAATACATGAAACATTTAGAACCCCCACTCCCTGCAGAATTTCCTCCTTCAAATCAGGCATACACTAGCTTATTATTATAGGGTCATGAATTTGTGCTGACATGATTTTAATTCTTTTTAAAGGGAAAAATACTTGAAGATTTTTAAAATAAAAACCCACAAAATGTGTCTTTGTTTATATTTGTAAAGATTTACGGCTCCTGATGATTAGGACCTTATATTACAATGATATTTGCTTAAGGCTAGATCAGGACTTTAGGTTATCAAAGAATGTGCCCAGGCAGAGTGCAAGCAGGAAGTCTTTCATGGTGCTTTCCATGCAGGACAATGCACTTCAGAAATAACCTGCAACACCCCCTGCTCTTTCAATCTTCGTCTCTTTCTCAGGAGAACGTGCCACTCTTTAATTGCAGTGTTTCCATGATGTTGGCATATGGAGTGTAGGCTGCAACTTGCTCTGGGATTTTAATTCAGGTTTAACGGTAAAAAGCTAGGGTGCTGTTGCTATCCAGCTGTTCTCTCTAAAATCTTTAGCACTGAGGTGAATTTGGACTCAGTTGCTTAAATTATAATGTATTTTGCCCCTTTGACTTTAGACTGCCCCATTCACATTCCTTTTGGCTTTTTTCCAATTCAGTGTTATATAGAGAAATGGAAATAGCAATGTTAAATGCATTTGCTAATTAATCTGTAATGCACGGATCATACTACGACACCATCCCAGATTCATTAGTGCAATGACAGCCTACATGGCTTACCTTTTTAACTCATGATCTACTTAAAGTCTCAGTTAACAACAAATTATCTAGTGGGCTAATGGCTTGTAGTAGATCCCAGAGGGAATGTCTACACAGCAAAGTTATTTTGAAATAACTTTCCAAGCGTCTACACAAGCCAACTACTATGTCGAAATTAATTCAAAATAGCAGAGGGCTTATTTCGAAATTGGTAAACCTCATTCCACGAGGAATAGCACCAATTTCAAAATTACTATTTCGAAATAAGCATTGTGTAGACTCTTATCTCGAAATAGGGGGCCTCCAGCACTTCCCAGGGTGCCCTGCTGGCCGCCCTAGCCACAAGGTAACTTCTGACCTGAGGCCCTGCAGGAACCAGTTCCGGCTGGCCTTAAATGTGATTCAGTGTCCAATCAGTGTGGATGTGCTATTTCAAACTAGCAAAAAGCTATTTCAAAATGTATTTTGTGTGTAGATGCATTATTTTGAAATAACTATTTCAAAATTAGATAGTTTGAAATAACATTGTAGTGTAGACATATCCAGAGCCTCCAAGGCCAAGATAATATGGGGATTGTTCTATGGCAGTGTTAATCCTTCTTTCTTCCATTGTGTCCTTTCAAGCCCTGGCAATACTCCCATTGCCTGAAAAGGGTCGGACCCTTTGAGATACTGTCCTAGCACTTGATTCATGATCACCTGATTGTATTGCCTTTACCTGCCTTACAAGTCCATTCTCACACTGGTCTAGGGTGAAAGGAGAGATGTGTCCTCTAATGCTCCTCTCCTCGTGGCAAGGCAAAAAGGGAGCCTAAAAAGGCAAGCAAGGCATTTAAAAGGTGAGCTGTCTGTCCCCCCATTTGTGGTAGGAACATGATTAGCAGCAGAATAGTTACACTGGCTTGCACAATTTGACAAGGGATCATGGAGAGAGAAAGAGATTTAAAATGTACAGTAGTTTGAGTTTTTGGCCCCAGCTATAGATCTCATTTGCAAGAACCCTCCTTTTCCCTCTGTAAATTTCTTACTAGATAAATGACCTGTTTTTCCAGTAGCCTTTATGAGTCAGCTGATCTCTGTCTCTGAATCTGACAGCTGGGTGGGGAGAAATACTGCATCATATTGCAGCCTCACATTGCTTTTTGCACCATGCAAGTGGTAGACTATATTTTCTTGAAGATAAGCCAGTCTCTGTGGCATATCTGAAGAACAGTAGGTGTGATGTTTTCTATTCAGGAAAAGCTACAGATAGACTTTCATACTGGAAAATGAGCCTTTTAAAATGGCAAGAGTTCAGAAAATTCTCCCTAGCTATCGTTCTTTTTCTGAGTCAGCAGCATTTTAATACACTGCCTCTAAGAATACATATCTAATCATTTACAATTATTTATCTAGTTGTTCTCAGTGCTGTCTTTTGTTGGTTATTCTTATACAACTAATTTTGACTGCCTGCTTCTTCCTTTGCTGAAATGTATTCCTCTTTCTTTTGACACTGGCTCAAATAAGCTTGTAGCTCTTGAGCCTTTAAAAAATCATGATTGTAGAGAGTATTGAAACCTGGTTCTCCTTGTTTCTGTTGCTATTTGTACTGTTCTCTGGAAATCTGGGGAAATGGAGGAAAATGTGTAATTACCTTTAAAAAATTCCCGAGTGTACTTTGCAAATAAAATACAGTTACCTCAGTGAGAACTGCCAGTTTATTATGTGAGAGCCAATAACATAGATATTTCCATTTATATCTTCCACATGCTGCTTTTCTTTTCTATTCATGCAAATTTAATTATTTAGGCCAGAGTCTGATCTCAGTTCTATCAGTATAAATCATGTGCAATAGTAGTGAATAAGAGTGCATTCTGTTCAATGTAGGTTCTTATGCCACCTCACTGACATTATTCCAGGTTTACATCAGTGTAACTGAAGAGAATTTGGCCTTTAATATTTATGAAGCAAGAAGATATTGCTGTAAGCAAGTGCATGTATATGTGCTCGCTCACACACATATTAAAGATGCAACCTTTATTTAATTGGATCTTCCTGGTCCAGCACCCTCGAGACCTGACCAGTCCCAGATGAAGGATTTTGCTGGACCAGGGAAGTCATTTCCGACCCTCCTGCCACCAGCCCCCTCTAGCCCTGGCCCCACTGCTGGCCTCCCGGCTGCCTCCCCCCGTCAGTGGCCCCCGCTGCCCTGCTGGGAAGCCCCCTCACCTCTGCAGGCACGAGGCTCCAGCAGCTGTGCCTGGCAGCTCCGCTGCCTTTGCGCACCAGCCTCCCACTGCTCTACTGGGCAGCCCTGCTACTGCACATGGGGCTCCCACTGCCCTGTCAGCCTGCAGGGCTCCCAGGCGCTAGCTCTTCCCTGAGACTCTCTGGTCCTGGAACATCCATGGTCCACCCAGACCACAGAGGTTGCCGGACCAGAGAGTCCTAGTTAAGAGCATTTCAACCTGTATTGACATGTGAACTTGCTGTTGAAAAGTGCAGAGGTGGCAGTTATGTTAAGCTGAGAACCTTACGCACTGCAATCTGTGTGTAAATCTACTACATGCAGTAACCCCCCTAAACAATTAAATACTCAAATGTTTGGTAAACTCTCTGGAATTCATCACTTCCATGTGGGTTTGCTTAGTTTAATATAACCTCATCCTAATCAGCTCATTCAAAAAGGAAAAACTCCCATCCTCCTGAATAGTTTCTCTGACTTTTAGAAATACTATAAGTAATTACTGCAATTATTGCATCTTTGAAGTCTTTGTCTTTACTTTAAACTTACAAAGATTGATTCTGTCAGTTAAAACATTTGGAAAAAGGTGTGCTTTGTTTACATTCCGAAAGGCAGCTTTCCCTTTGCACATGCAAAATACATTGATTGGGACATAGACGCCCCCTCTACCCCCACCCCCGCTCAGGACTGTATTCTAAGTTTTGTGCTATCATTTGCACATTCATTTTAGTCACTCCTGAACATTTACATAGCATTGTTTGCATAACAGTATGACTGGGGAAAAAAGATCACTTAAGCCACATGAATTTAAGCCCAGCCAATAGGGACGGGGTACGAGGAACGAGGGAGGGAGTGGCTGGGAGGCAGGGGGGGAGGAAAGTTTGGGGCTTCCTGTCTCCCAGCTAGGCTGTAGCAATGGGAAGCTAGAGGAGAGAGACTATTCTGATTACTGCTGCTGCCTGTTGTGAGAAACCCAGCTCTCACCTCCTGCCCTGGGCTGGGCTGGGCTGGGCTGGGCTGGGCTGGGGAGCAGATTTCCTGGGGGAGGTGGGGGGAATAAGGGGTGAGTGAGTGCTGCCATTAGTGAGGAGGGGAGTTTGTTTGCAAAGTCCTGACTCCCATCTGTGCTCTCTCTCCCATTAGTGAGGAGGGGAGTTTGTTTGCGAAGTATAGCAGCCCACAGTTTCCAGTGCAGGCAAAGACATAGGGGGGCTCTCTCCAAGGTGCCAACATTTCAGGTGGGTTACGCTGGCAGGCTGCGGCAGGTGGCTACATGGGAGATGGGATGCTGGGGAAACTCCATTGTCTCGTTACTCTCAGAGGGAGCTTACTCTAGCTTAAAATGCTGTGGGCAGAGGAGGTCCTACCCCTCTACCCAGACTGAGCATGCTCCAAGTGCTGGAGCAGTATCAAAGGGAGCAGTTCTGCACAGTCCGGGCTGGCTGCTGGAGAGGAAGGACCTGCTGCAGGAGCAC